ATTATCTTTCTCCTTTCTCAAATCTGCCTTGAATAGTGAGAAATGTACTGTTACAATATATTACAGTCAGCCCTGTAGCACTCTCTTCCAGTACTAAGTGACCTCTCAGATAATGGAAATGCCCTGCCTTTCAGCTCTGTCATAACGAGGATCACAATAAACTGCCACAGAAAAGCGGTTACACTGCTGAGACCCCTTAAGACCTAGACTCATGGATGTAGAGATTCATATGATTATGTTAAGGAGAACGGATTACCTACAGTAATTCATCTTCCCTGAAAAACTGGCCTCCAGTCCTGCTGACAAAGACCACACAACCACTTCCCTTGATTGCACTTATCTCATTTCCAATCACAATAGATATGTACTGAGATAATAGCAATCTTCCACTCTAACCGTAAAACCTTTAGTCTGTGGATCTTTATCACTCACAACATCTGTTGAAAATTACTGATTGTGACCAGTATTTCACTCTTTCATTTCTCACTTCACACAATTGCATTTCTTTAATCTAAAGCAGCAGCATCAGGCAGTCCTACACTTTTTTCAATAATACATAGTTGATCTGCAAAGTCAGGTCTAGTTAACCATGCCTCTCTGAAATGATATGTTCATCTTACTTAATTTTATAGATGTCGGGCCCTCCGACTTCTAGCAGCAGTGTTCACAGCAGCCACACTACACTGATTTGGCAGCTAGAAGGACTTCCATGGGTGTGGAGAGGCTGGATTGGCCCAGAGTGTGCAGCAGAGAGTTAATCCTGTCTCAAGCAGCTATAACTCTTCAGCCTGTGGTTGGTTTGGTTTCTGGAGGAGGAGAATGCCATATAATGCAGCCCCTCCTCCCAAACACTGAGCTCACCCACTTTTCCATTGTCAACAGACTATGTGGCTATTTTGTGGAGGGGGCAAAGTGGCTGGGCTCCATGAATGGGGGCATCCACTTAGCCACCTTTCCTCCCTGTGTGGGATCACTGGCTTTTCAGTGGATTTGCTCCCTTCTGCACCATGCAGTGTGTGTGTGTGGGGGGGGGGGGGTGAACATATGGCTACACAGATGGGCCTCTGTGCTGCAGTTAAGTAGGTATAATAATACTTCCCTACCTCAGAGGGATGTAGTAAGGCTTAATTAATTATTCCTTATCAAGCCCTTTAAGACTCTTGCATGGAAGGTTAAATGTAATTGCAAAGTAAAAGGATTCCATTAGACTGCAGATGATCAAAGGCAATGTTTACAGGCTGCAAATTACATGACAGTTAAGCAGTAAATCAATCAAATTATTTAACTGTATATTGACACGTCTCCCTATTAATCTTTTCTTTTTCCAACCTCTTCCAATACACACATCACAGAGAAACAGGGTTATTAAAAGGCATGTGTCATAAATATAAAGGGATGGGTAACAACCTTCCTGTATACAGTACTAGAAAATCCCTCCTGGCCTGAGGCACAAAATCCTTGTACCTGTAAACGGTTAAGAAGCTCAGGTAACCTGGCTGGCACCTGACCAAAAGGACCAATAAGGGGACAAGATACTTTCAAATCTTGGGGAGTGAGGGACTGGGAAGGTTTTGGTCTGTCTGTTGTGTGTGCTTGCCAGACACTGATCAAGGAAGCAAGCAATCCAACTTCATTAGAATTAGTAAGTACTAGCAAGGGAATCGTTAGCTTATTTTTGTTTTGGCTTGTGATTTTCTCTGTGCTGAGAGGAAGGTGTATTCCTGGTTTTCTTTTTGTAACTTTAAAGTTTGGCCCAGAGGGAAATCCTCTGTGTTTTTTAATCCGATTGCCCTGTAAGATTATATTCCATTCTAATTTTACAGAGGTGCTTCTTTTACCTTTTTTCTTTATAATAAAGTTCTGTTTCTTTTAGAATCTGATTGGGGGTTTTTTTAGTTGTCCTAAAAAACCCCAAGGTTGGTCTGTGCTCATCTTGTTTATTCTCAAGCCTCCCAGGAAAGGGGGTGAGGGGGTGGGGAGATATTAGGGGGGAGTAGGAACTCCAAGTGGTCCTTTCCCTAAGTTGGTCTAAATCACTTGGTGGTGGCAGCGCTACCTAATCCAAGATACAAGGGAAAATTTGTGCCTTGGGGTGTTTTTAACCTAAGCTGGTAGAAATAAGCTTGGGGGTCTCTCATGCGGGTCCCCATGTCTGTACCCTAGGGTTCAGAGTGGGGAGAGAACCCTGACACGTGTCTTAATAGCTAACGGTGGTGAAGATAATGGAGTTGGTGCCCCAGCAGGGAGGCTACCTTCAAAAAACACAGAAAAGCTCAACCCTCCAAGCTAGAACTAGACAAATTTCTGTACTCTCTGCTGCTCGGCTGCTCTAATAGCATATTGAAGAGTCAAAATAATAACTCACAAAGTCTCCACATGTGGTATGAAAAGATTAGACAACTTAAGCGGGCAGGGATTTAAATCTTGACTGATAATACAGTTGTGAAATTATACACCATCAAAAGCAGAGGAAAAAGGGTTGGAGTTTAGTCCAAAGGAAGATTTAATCTGGAGACAAAGACCTTCATATAAATCCATCCCATATATTTTGGATGATTATTTCAAAAGCTGGAACTTGTGCTTGTTGATCTCTTAAACTGATTACTGAGAAACTGTATGCACTTTTAGAAACAGTCATTGACAGACATGCATTTCAGATGTCCTTTTTCACTGGTTTTTATTTCTTAACAAAGCTAGATTGCATAATACTTCTGATATTTTCAAATAACACAGATATCTTGATATTCAATTTGTAGTGCAGCTGTATATTTTATTGTACAATAGCTACATCATGTTCCAGGAGACAGCAACATAGATACTGACTGAATTCCAGCACAGAAGAGAGTTGTTTTGAAATGATAACATCATTTTGTCAAGGGGGGAAAAATAATGATGGGAAAAGATATTTTCTCCAACCATCAAATTCTGATACTTTGGAGCAACCTTCAAGTTACTGAATAGGAGAGAAATTCTATTAAATACTGTAGGAGTCCCTATGTTATTTGAGCTTCACATACACTAAGAGCAACACTAGGAAGTGTTGGTACATGTTTATGCAAGGATCTCTTATGAATGTGCTTTCTTGATAGATACATTATTGTAATTTTTTAAATTTATATATATATATATATATATATATATATATATATATATATATATATATATAAAAATTAATGGTTACATAAGGAACATAAAAATGGCCATACTGGGTCAGACCAATGGTCCATCTAGCCCAGTATCCTGTCTTCTGACAGTGGCCAGTGCCAGGTGCCCCAGAGGGAATGAACAGAACAGGCAATCATCAAGTGATCCATCCCCTGTGGTCCACTCCTGGCTTCTGGAAAACAGAAGCTAGGGACACTCAGAGCATGGAGTCGCATCCCTGCCCTTCCTGGCTAATAACCATTGATGGATCTATCCTCCATGAACTTATGTAGATATTTTTTCAACCTGTTATAGTTTTGGCCTTCACAATATCCCCTGGCAAAGAGTTCCACAGGTTGACTGTGCATTGTGTGAAGAAGTGTCTGTTTTAAATCTGATGCCTATTAATTTCATTGGGTGACCCCTACTTCTTGTGTTAGGTGAAGGAGTAAATAACATGATAATAGCTAATTTACATAGCACCTTGCATCAAAGGATATCAAATTGCTTTTCATATTTATAAAGTGATTTTCAACCTGATTTCTCCTCACTCAGGGCTGAAATGCAGCCACCTCTGGTGGACCACAGCAGGGGAATAACAAGACAAAACAGCACTGCAAAAGAGTTTCATGGCAGGAAATGTAGAATACTTTGCCCAAACAAATCTGCAGTTCAGGAGAACTTTAGGGAAGCTGAATGTAATTCCCAAGTTGGCATTGGTCCTGCACTAACATCCCTACTTGTGCTGTGGTGGTGGGGAGAGAGAGGGGTTGTTTGTTTGTTTGTTTGTAATGATCACAAATGAGAGTATCTTGGTTTTTTCTCCTGATTAACACACCCAGTGTGTACATGTGGTTTCTCCAGTCCATTCCAAAGACATTCCACACATGTTGTAGTTGGGCTGAAGGTAGCCCTTTCCTGGATTTGATTTTATTCACAAAAGGAACGCAGAATTAAACAGTATAAAATCCAGCTAAGCCTTCTCAAGAATCTTGGCATCTCAAGAGACTTGTCTCCGAGACCTCAGTCTATTTCCCCCCACCACAAAAAGCCACGCCCATCTCCTTCACTTAGATGGGCAACAAGTCACTTGCAACAGTAAATCAGGAAACCCCATTTAACCCTTTCCACTGAGGCAAAATGTGTTACAAACTAAAGAAGATTCCCCTTCTGACAATAAAGTTGACCTACCAATTGGTGGTGCTGTGAAAATCAAAAATTGGTCCAGCCTGGGTCCCTTTCTCTGGGACACTGATTGGCTAAGTGGGACAACCCTGACATATTGCAGAATACTCTGAACTAAAGAAAGTTTATCTTCCTTCTGAGGATGAAACATGTGTGCAAATATTTACAGCTGGAGAAAACAGAGAAGAAAGTGCAAGGCCCTGCAAAGAAGCTCCAAAATATACTGAAGACTAATAAAAATATTTCCAATTAACTATGAATAGATTAAACATCTAGCAACTGGAAAATTTTCCATGCCCTTCAAGGAGACTAGTATTTCACCCTGTATATAAAGTATGAGAAATACTGTGTGTGTGTGAGAGAGAGAGAGACACACACAATACAAAGTCAACACACCAACTAACAATATACCGTACTGTTCAAATCTAATAAACAATTCACTGATCAGATCAAATATTTTGAAAATACATTGTAAGAACATATATTATATTACAATGAAAATAGAGGGAAGTTTATTTTGACCATCCATATGGACTCTGTTACTAATATTTATAATGAAGAATTATTTGTAAACTTTAAAGAAATTCAGCATGACAAATGCAGAGCTGCTGCAGAAGTAGATCATTACTAACTCTATCTAACTTGGAAACACCATTATACCGCATACTTACATTCAGGCTGCGTGGCAACCTTGATGGATTGCGAGCTCTCTCCTGGTCCCCATTCATTGTATGCCACCACTCGGAACGTGTAGGTCTCCTCTGGTTTCAGATTTCCCACTGTAAGCTGAAGTGTCTCAGACTGTGTTGTGTTCTGTGCCCGTTCCCTAAGTAAAGACATTAGCACAGCAAAATAACTTTAAAATTAACATAGCCTTCCAAGCAATACTTATTTAATAATACTTGGCAAGCTAGCAAAGTGTCGCTAATTCTTTTAACTCTGACTTTGGGCTATAGAGTTTCTTTTAGGTGCCTGAAGCATTATATTACAAATTATCTCATGCGATGGGGCCCAAGATAAATGCTGCAAGAACTACCAGAACCTCAGAAATGTTCTATTATAAACACTTAATAAGCAACACAATCTTCTGGTTCCTTCCCTGCCTTAATACAATAGGAAATGGAAACTGATGGGAAACAAATAGCTGTTCAATAAACAGAAACATCTGTGATCTTGACGGTGAGATGTGTACTGGATCATAAACACTGGGCTAATGACAGAAAAACAGGTTCTGATGTTCTACAGATTGTTTTGTCAGTGCCGCTAACAGATGTGCCTTCTTGATGACAATGGGGACAAAAGTATACCACCACCCAGCTAGCAGTGCTGTGTTCAGTGGCGTCAGTTACTGTAGCTAATGCAAAGAGATCACACAGAGATGAAGTGTATCCATTTGATTGATTCCGTCTCCATTACAAAGGTCTGAAAAGAAGGCAAATTTGTAAAGTTTGCGCTCTGCACCACTTAGCTCTTTTAGCGTCTTGGCAAAAATAGCACAGAGATTATTAAGTGGTGTTCTCATATCCTAGGAAGACAAACAGTCTCTGATACATATGTGCAATTCCCATGGCTGTCAACAGCAGTTGAGCACACAGATTAAGGGTGATATATTGCAAAAAGTATCTGGGAGTGTGGCCTGTTTACGAACTGAATAAGGATTTTAGCCTCAGTCCCATAAAATAAGACTATGGTTGGTCTTGTGCATGTACCCAAAGCTGGGAGAGAGAATAAAAAGGAGTCCTTCTTCCTTCGCACATCTTCTCAGATTCTAGCCAGGTTACTGATCCTGGCCTCTAAGTACACAAAGACTAAGGGTGTGTCTGTTGGTGGCACTGGACTCCCTAAATAGGGCAGGAGGAAGCCATTGTTTCATGTCCTTTCCTACTGATCAATAGACAGAAGCCAGCATCAGGAGAGCATGTTACACCTTGAGAAAGGAACTGCTGTGACCACAGCTGTGTGGAAACACCCTGCATTCTTAGAGGCATTGGGAATACTCCAGGCCCAGTGCCTCTGAGGGCAGTGCTCCTCCATACTTCCCTATGCTAGACTGTGGCTTGAAAGCCACAGAGGGATAGACTCTTCTGATTTTGAGAAACAGTGAAGACTTAGTAGGTTCAGGCTTGGTGTTTGGGCTCCCTAGAACCTCACCTTCACAGATTCCGAGGCCAGAAGGAACCATAGTGATCATCTACGCTGACCCTCTGCATAGGCCAGGCCACAGAACTTCCCCAGAATAATTTCTACAGCAGATCTTATAGGAAAACATCCAATCTTGATTTAAACAAGGTCATTGATGGAGATTCCACCATGACCTTTGCTACATTGTTCCAATGGTTAATTACCCACACTGTCAAAATTTACACCTTATTTACAATCTGAATTTGTCTAACTTCAACTTCCAGCCACTGTATTCTGTTGTACCTTTCTCTGATAGACTGAAGAGTTCTTGTTCCCCATGTAGATACTTACAGACTGTAATCAAGTGATCCCTTAATCTTTTCTTTGTTATGCCAAATAAATGGAGCTCTTTGAGTCTATCACTATAAGGCAGGTTTTCTAATGCTCTAATAATTCTTATGAGTTTTCTCTGAACCCTTTACAATATATGAACATCCTTCCTGAATTGTGAGCACCAGAACCGAACACACTATTGCAGCAACAGTTGCACTAGTGCCAAATACAGAGGTAAAATAACTTCTCTACTCCTATTCAAGATTCCTGTTTATGCATCTCAGAATTGCATTAGCTCTTTTGGCCACAGCATTACAGTGGGAGTTCAAGTTCAGCTGATTGTCCACTATGACCCCCAAATCTTTTTCAGACTGACTGCTTCCCAGGATAGAGTCCCCCATCTGAAAGCATGGCCTACATTCTGTGTTCCTAGATGTATACATTTACACTTAGTCGTATTAAAACACATATTACTTGCTTGCGATGATTTATCAAGCGATCCAGACCCCCTGTCATCTGCAAACTTTATCAGTGATCACTTTTTCTTCTACTTTGGCAGGACTATGTCAACACTACTTTCCTAACCACCAGGCTACAGTGTCAGTCTCTCTCTCTAGATTAGAGCACTTGGGGGGGGGCAGGTTCAAGTCCTTGCTCTGCTTCATTCAGACAAAGCACTGGTGGATTAGACAAAGCACTGGTGAATATAGTCTACGGAGCAAACCAGCAAAGTCCTACATAGGAGATAGTGGGGACCATAGGTCTCTTCTAATGGTGCAAGCAGATAAAAAGCACCAGGTCCATTTCCTGTTACATGGGCCAGAGAGCTGTGGAGTAGAGCTGCTCCTCCAAAATGGGAAGAGGAGGGGAGCTCTCCCTTTGCTTTTAGCAGAGGAAGTAGATCTGTGCTTGACCAACCCAAACCCTCTTCACCCCTGGTCTCTTCCATCTCCAATTTCTATTATTATTCTGGTGGAATCCAGAACCAAGCTACTCCCTTCTTTTGGGAAATGGAATCTGTTGAACTCAAAACCAAAATAAGCCATATTCCAGGCTCATTGACCCTGAGTGCAACTCTGCTGAAGTCAGTGAGGTAGCAAGAGATTCATGTCAATGCAGAATCTAGCCCATAACAACCTTTACATTAATTCTTTGCAATGTGGGAATTCACAACAGTAAGAAATGAAGAAAAAAAATAACTTCAGTGAGCTGTGGGATGGTCAGACACGTATTGCTATTGCCTATGAGAACCACTTTTTTGTTGAGATAAATAAGTAACAGAAGAGGCCCTTCAACGCCCAAAACAGTAGAAAGGAAGTGATAAAAGGAAAACAGAGATGAAGCAAAAATGGGAAATTCTATTCACCTAAATCTCAAAAAATGAAACTTCTCTTAAGTTCAGCAGCTCCTCTAGAACTTTTGATGTGTGTATTTGCTTTTAATATCTGTTTATCTTCATCTGTGGCAATGCTACCTGCAGTGATGTCCATCTTACACATATTAGGGACAATACACAGCACATTAGGGATGATACACAGCCTCCAGCACTTCTGCAACAAATCTATTCCAAGTAATATGCAAAGGAAATACTTGAATTTTCTTTCCCTGTTATGTAGAACTCCAGTCAAGGAACTGAAGAGCCTATTTTGCCTGCTGAGTACCGTTATTTCCCCTAATAACGGTATAAGTGTATCAAATCTACACTTTAGGCTTAAAGGGCCTGAATCTCTGCTGCTTTACAACTTGTGTAGTCTGTGCAAATTGGGTGCAAAATGCTACCAATGGGATGCGTGAAAATGCTGACAAAGTAGCGTTTTGTCCTCTGCAAAACAATGAAGAATCAGGCCCATTGGACACAGACCAGGGTGGGATTTATAACTATTTTGTTTCTCAGACCTACATCTCAGGCTACTGTTCACATCTTAATCCATTCAGAATTAGGCCTGTCAGAACAAGTGATCAATACGCAGATAGTAATTCTGGCTAGGACTTTCAAAGGCACCTCAGAGATTTAGGTACTCATCCTCCATTGAATTTCAGTGGTATTTGGGTGTCTAACTCCCTTAGGCTCTTTGAAAAAACACAGTCTAAGGTGTTCCCGTTCCTGGCTAGCTTGCTCTATACTAACCAATACTTCCCTCTTTATATGCTAGAAAAGATGGACAGTATTATATTATGGCAGGTTCCATTATTTGTCTAATTCCTATTTTGGGGAGTTTCCAGCTGTCGTATTGAGGATGTCTTCCAAATAAAGTATTAGAAACCTGACATCTGAGTCTAGAAATGTTCTTTTTGCAACTGCAATACATAATTTTCCTATATGTCTTATATCCCAGATTAATGACCTGAGACTAGCTGATGTATTGTTTTATAAAATCTAAGGAGTGCTTTTATGCTTCCCCCACTTTCTCCTAACTTCAAAAAATAAGAAATGTACCATAGCAAAAGTAAATTTTCCAAACTTGACTGCGTAAGGACTGAGTAATAACCCACGCAAGGACCTCAGGATTTAACGTGGGAAAAATAACAAAGAAAGAAGGGCTGAGATTCATGAAATCCATTCGGGACTTTATAATTGCTTTCAAGTTCACATGGGAGGCAACCCAATACTATGGTGATGGGCAGTAGTATAAAGCCATAAGATAGCTAGACAGACAGCTAGATAGATGTTCAAAAACAGGTGTTCTAAATTAGAATCATAGAATCATAGAATATCAGGGTTGGAAGGGACCTCAGGAGGTCATCTAGTCCAACCCCCTGCTCAAAACAGGACCAATCCCCAAATAAATCATCCAGCCAGGGCTTTATCAAGCCTGACCTTAAAAACTTCTAAGGACGGAGATTCTACCACCTCCCTAGGTAACGCATTCCAGTGTTTCACCACCCTCCTAGTGAAAAAGTTTTTCCTAATATCCAACCTAAACCTCAGCCACTGCAACTTGAGACCATTACTCCTTGTCCTGTCCTCTTCTACCACTGAGAATAGTCTAGAACCATCCTCTTTGGAACCACCTCTCAGGTAGTTGAAAGCAGCTATCAAATCCCCCCTCATTCTTCTCTTCTGCAGACTAAACAATCCCAGTTCCCTGAGCTTCTCCTCATAAGTCATGTGTTCCAGACCCCTAATCATTTTTGTTGCCCTTCGCTGGACTCTCTCCAATTTTTCCACATCCTTCTTGTAGTGCGGGGCCCAAAACTGGACACAGTACTCCAGATGAGGCCTCACCAATGTCGAATAGAGGGGAACGATCACGTCCCTCGATCTGCTGGCTATGCCCCTACTTATACATCCCAAAATGCCATTGGCCTTCTTGGCAACAAGGGCACACTGTTGACTCATATCCAGCTTCTCATCCACTGTCACCCCTAGGT